GCCGATGATGAACGATGCTGCATTGAAGTCAATTATGACGATGACAGTTATGATGATGGTGACGATGATGGTGAAAATCATGGTGATGGTGACGATGTATGTATTGTTGATGATGGTGGTGAAGATGGTTTTAGTGATGAGGATGATGAAATTAAAGAGGTAATCAGCACTTCAACGATGGTGATAATGATGATGATGGTGATAAATGATGTTGATGATGATTAGAGTTGTTTACGTGATGAACACCATCAATCATCCAACTTGTGTTTTATTGTTCTTGTTTATGTTGTTGTTGTTGATGTTGTTGTTGTTGTTGATGATGATGTTGTTGTGATGTAGTTTTGCTGTTGATTTTGTTGTGATGTAATGTTGCCGTTGATGTTGCTGTGTTGTTATAAAATTTGTTGTTGTTGTTGTTGTTGTTTTTGTTGTTGACGATTGTTGTGAGCTGCAATAATGATCCTCTTGTGGACATTAACTTTTCAAAATTATAGTTAATATTTTTGTTTTTTTTATTATTGCTAATGGTAATATTATTTTTATTTTTATTATTGTGGTTGTTGTTGTTATCATTATTGTTACAGTTGTGACTAATGAGGTTAGAGATGATTTGTTGACGTTAATTTGCAACAATTGAAAACGTTTAAAAATAAGATGGATGGTATGTTGGTTGGATGGATGGATGGATGGATGGATGGATGGATGGATGGATGGATGGATGGATGGATGGATGGATGGATGGATGAGAAATGTTTCCTTTTACGCACGTTCAAATGCAGACGACTATTCTATTTTCTAAATTCTTAAAACTTTTCAATGAAGGAAAATTTAATATAATTAAAATATTTATAGCAAAGCAAATTTTTTAAAAACGCTGAACATTGTAGGAGCAGAAACAGAGAACAAAGCATGAAATAATAAAAATTCAAATTTGCAAATTTGTGACGAAAATGACACAAATAAGAAATTATGGAAACAATTTGCGTGGGCGGTGATTGTGTTTTGTTCCATTACTTCAAATTCAACAAACATCAGGAGGTGACCATCATTCATTCGTATTCATTCGTTCGTTCGTTCACTCACTCACTCACTCACTCATTCAATCACTCACTCAATCATTCACTCACTCACTCACTCACTCACTCATTCATTCATTTATTCCATTAATTTTCTTTATTTTGTCCTCTAAATGAATGGATGGATCAATAAAATATTTAAAAAAATGTTTTTCCAACTGTCTTACCGATTTTAAATAATATTTTTATATTTATGATCTTCTGTGACTAATTTCTTTTTCACTGTTTTTCGACTCTGTTCCATGTTTGCACTGGCTTTCCATCCTCTTACGTTAAATCTTCATTAGCTGTATTGACATATTTTTTGAAAATAATTTAAGATAGTTTTGTCATCTTCGTCTGATGTGTGTGTGTCTGTGAATGAGAACCTTTTCCTGTTGGTTTTGGCCATTACTCACTCGCCCAATGTTTGCATTGTCTTCTTCTTCGTCGTCGTCATCATTATCATCATCGTCGTCATCATCGCCATTGTCATCATCGTCATAATAATCATCGTCATTCTCATCGTGGTCGACATCCTCAACATCACCATCATCATCTGCATCTTCATTTTTGTCATCATCATCATCGCCATCATCGTCTCCACATACGTCGTCCATTACAAATGGAGATGTTGTCTATAATTTCTTCTTTGCTGGCTCGTTGCTAACATGTTGCAAACAAACATCGGCATGCGCATGCATATGTGTTTGTTTGTTCAAGTTTGTTCGTGTTTTTCATTGTTTGTTCTTGTTTGTTCGTGTTTGCTTGTTGGTGTTTGTTCATGTTTGTTCATGTAAGAATGAATGATCATTTTTGCATTGTTGTCAACATTTTTCTCTGCACGTTTCAATGTCTTGCAGGTTGAAATAATTCATAGGTTCGTGAATGATCATCATTGAGTATGTACAATTTTAGACCCCTGAGAATTTGTTCATGTGGAGTTTGTGTTTGTTTTATTGCATAACCTGTTTGTACGAGTGTAAACTTGTTTGTGCGTTTGTAAACTTGTTTGTGTGTTTGTAAACTTGTTTGTGTGTTTGTAAACTTGTTTGTGTGTTTGTAAACTTGTTTGTGCGTTTGTAAACTTGTTTGTATGTTTGTTTGTATAATTGTTTGTATGCGTGTATATTTATTTTTACATTTGTGTGTGTGTGGGCATGTGCGTCGGTTCTGTTTTAAGCTCTCCACGTGAGTCGTTAATGGGGGGTGTGTTTTGAAGGTGGGGGTGATGATGATGTCGGTGATGATGATGATGATGAGGAGGAGGGTGGTGGCAG